TTCACAGTAAGTGAAGTCACCTAGTCTTCTGACTTTATGTCTACTGCTCTTTCCTTCACACAGACTTAGCTTTAGTGCAAATATAAAGAGGTAGAAGGTATTTGTGTACCCACCTTATTTTTTGCCTGACAACCAACAACTAATTATACTGTCAGATTTTCAATATACCCATGTAGATCTTAGTAAATTTGCCAAGAAACAAACTAAACATTTTGCTGTTCCTAGACAAAATTGACTTTTATTAAAAAAAAAAAAAAGGAAAAGGAAAATTCACTAGACCACAGTCTTCTTGAAATCATATTATAGAAGTGAACCTAAATAAGATTATGTATGAAATGACTCCTCTAGAAAAATCTCTAAAATATTGAAGACAAGTGGAGTTTCAATATTATTTAAGAGCTCAGGTGCATCTAAATGTGCCATAAATATAATCTAGTTAATTCCAGACCTGTACGAAATTCTATGCTCTTTCCTGTCAATTCATACCAAGAATTATGAATTACTGCTATTATCCATATATTTTCAGGATAAGACTATGCAAATAACATAAGGAAAATGTGAATGAGGAGAAGTATCAGTATTCTTATAAAGTAGAAATAAGATTAAATAAGAATGTACACTAAGTATACATAATGTATTATATACTTTGAAAAACAAAAAATATCGTTAAGTACTAAGAGATTTTTGCCTCTGCAGATTCCCCAAACAACTTAAACAAGACAATTGTATTATCATTGAACACTGCAGTAAACAATACCAAATATGATTAGGTATTGACTTAATGAAAGGTCATAGCAATTAAAGTCGGCTTTAAATTTCTGTTAACCACCAATAACAACCAAATGTTTAGTGTCCTTCAGAGCACTGGAGAAGAGAATGTTTCTTCTCTGGAACTGACCTGGAATACATTAGATGTATGTAATCAGATACCTGAAGTTTCCCCTTATGCCTTCACCATTCTACTAATCTACCCCTGGGATCTACTCCTGCCCAAGAATCAAAACAATCCTCAGAAACTATATGAGAAACAGGATAGACAATCTAGAAACTTTTAAAAAGTGGTATTAATGTTCTTGACATTGCATATTCCTGTCAGACAGAAAAAACAGATTTTTGCTCCTAACTTTGAAGGCAACTTTTTCTCAAAGAGTCTTTGATAGAATAATAAAGTGGAAAACATGATAAAATAGAAGGTAGTTTTGAATTTAAATGGATATAGGTTAGTCTCTATGTCCACTCCAACCACGCCTCTGTGCATTTCTTGGGGGTATGACTTTGAGCAAGTAACTTAATTCCTTGATCTTCATTTTATCCATAAATAAAACAGGAATATCTGGACTCATCTCACAAGGTCATCTCCAGATTTGGAGTAAAGTTCTTAGCATGCGGTGAACAATAAATATTACTTCCCTTCCCCAATCCATAGATCTTAAAAAGCCACAAGATTAAGTATCTGGTAATGCACAATATTCCAAAAGCCAAAGTCTCCTCTGAGCACCTACTTTGGCAGTGGGAGTGTTTCCAGTAACACTGAGTATTTATTTCTAGTAACACTGAGGTCACCTAAAACAGAGCCCCTGAACTTGATAATGCTTGGGTTCTAATGATAGGCAATGGGATTTCTGAGTTTGTTATTTATATCTTTGCACTATACAAGATTATGTTCAAGGATCATAAGTAGAAAAATACATTAAATATTTGGATAAACACTCTCAAAGATCTTATGTTTTAAATATTGAAGAAATATTTTACACCACTAAGGCTAAATGGTTTTAAACATTTGCTTTCTCTTCACTCAGAGTTTCTAACTTTCATAAAATCATAGAAGTACTTTTTGTTCTGCTAAATACTATAAGTGGCTAGTAAAAAAAAATTACAAAATTTGCTCTAAGGTCTAATATTGCCTTGTTGCCCTCTGTGAAAGACCTAATGGTATATATAGTTGTAAATGCTTCAGTAAAATAATTATACTGTTCTTATAAAAAAAAAAACTGGCTTAAGCCCAGATCATATAAAAAGGTAGATTAAATATATTAATGATTTACTGTATTGGTTAACCCAGTATAATATGCCATAAATCTTTATATGCATATTAAAAGATGGGTTTTTTATTCCTGCTTGCTCATATAATTAACTTATTTTAAAACATCTTAAAAAAAACAAAAAAATGAAGAAAATCAAATGGACAGAAAATCTAAAAAAGTTTTCATTTTCTTGTCTTCAACAATTCATAAAGAACATCATCATCAATTCTACTACATAGTTTTTCATGGTAACATCAGGTCTCCACATGAGAGAAAGCCAAAGTTTTCTGCTTCCTAAATCTCACTGGTTATTTGAAACCCAGTACTGTACTATGGTGAATAATATCTGAGTCAGAACTGAGCATTAAGATTGGATTATGGAAAAGACCGGATTATGGAATCAAGTTCTAAGCACTCCTAGAGATAAGACTGCATATAAAGTTAGAAGTTTAGGTGGAGTAGGAGTAGAAAGTCATGGTATCCTGATTCCTAGTATTTTATAATTTCACAGATTCAATTGGTTGGGTCAGCAGTTTAAAGAGCAAAAAGTTACGGTTGAAATGGCTGAACTCTGCTATTAAGAATCATCAAAGTGTGAAGCAATTTAAAATAGAAGTTATGTAGTTTCCTCTGGAAAGAATCAAGTTTGGGAATTTTAAAAGTGGTTGTCCTTGGAGGTAATTTAGTAACATCATGAAATAAGATTTGCAATTAAATTAAATTTATATATTTTATGGGTATAAAATGATGAACATAATGAATCATGTTCAAGATTTAAACCATGACCTGAGATTTTGCATATATTAATATTTTATTAGCAATTCTGTAGAACATCCTGCTTCAAGGTCCACCAATTAAAGACAGCAGCAGCAATCACACCAGAGGTAGATAAGAATGTATTTAAGAAGAATAATTACAATACTAACAGTAGTAGTATTAGTAATAGCTCACATGCATTGGGTATTTCTTTATCATACACTAGGTCTTATTTATTATTCACAAAAAATTATTGTAGATAGATATTCTATTATTCTCATTTCAAAGATGAAAAGATTTGGAAGGTAATTGACCCAATATCAAGATGCTACAGAGTGGCAGGTTTGAAATCATAAAGTTTAAAATATCAAGAACCTTCAGAAATATAATACATACCAGATTTTTTTTAAAAATTTCTACTCTTGAAAAATTTAGTAATATCTTCCTATGGTTGACTAGATAAGACTAAGGAAAATTTAAGGTAGGAGAAATTACAGATGAGAAATTTAAGTCCTCAGAGAAAATAGTATTAAAATCAAGGACTAGTGAATCTACAGAAACCCTAATAAATGTTTGCACAATCACCTAAGTATAGTCTTTATTGAACACTTGTTTAAGACCACTACTAAGCACTCTTTGTAAATTAACTCTTTGGCCGAAGTCATGGCCAAAAGGTGGCAGAGTCTGAGTTCAAACCACAGTTATTAATCTGTTCCTAAAGCCCATGTTCTCTGCCACCATACTATGATCAAGGGGCATTTACATGCCTTCAGTCTTCCCAGTTTCCATTTACAAGGTTTTGTTCACCAGGAAACTTTGGGGATATCCCTTCCCTACATTGCTCACAAGATACTTGACAACTTGAAAAGTTGTCACAGGTTGAAGGTGAACATGCATTCCAAGAGATCTAGTCCTCCAACTAAATATGCAGCATCTTTCCATTTATGTCTAAGAGGTACTGACTCACCTGGAATCTCAGGTATGTGAGATGCAGAATAACTTGCATGCTTGAGAAGCAAAACCTTTGGATGACCTGTATTTCTCAACATCTATCCACCCAAGATAAATTCATGTCATAGCCAAAGCACTGTTTTCATCACTTAGCTTGTGTCCATGCATGGCAGCTACTGGAGTGTACTTCTAAGAGATGGCACATCACCTTTGCTCATTTAATTCCTCGCCAACCTACCCCACCCCCTGTCCCAGGATTGCCTGCAGTAACTGCTTCAATTCTGCCATCTGATTCAATTTTACTGTCTTTTTTCAATCCCAGTTCTGTTTTGCTAATTAATCCCAACCAGAGTGACTGGTAATTTCATATACTGGAGCAGAAAATTTTGATGTTGTGGAAAAGATATACAGAAGCAAATTTACATGCATTTGAAGTACAGGTAAGGGAAGCTCACAGTTAGGGAAGGATCTGCATAAAGATAATCTCGACAGGTACATTTTCTTCACAACCCATTTCAAGGGGATAGCCTTCTCCATTATACAGTTATTTTACAGCAATAAAAATAATGTAGATTGTAGCAATTACAAGTTTCATAAAACTGTATTGCAGTTATATTTTATAAGAAGAATGCTTATCGCTGTGAATTGTGCAGGACTGTTGAATCTCAGATCTGTACCTCTGAGACAAATAATGCAAGATATGTTAAGAAAAAAAAAAGAAGAAGAAGAAGGTAGCAGGAGAGGAGGAATGAAGCGGGGGAAATCGGAGGGGTGGATGAACCATGAGAGACGATGGACTCTGAAAAACAAACTGAGGGTTCTAGAGGGGAGGGGGGTGGGAGGATGGGTTGGCCTGGTGGTGGGTATTGAGGAGGGCACGTTCTGCATGGAGCACTGGGTGTTGTGCACGAACAATGAATCATGGAACACTTCATCTAGAACTAATGATGTAATGTATGGGGATTAACATAAGAATAAAAAAAAAAAAAAGAAGAATGCTTATCATGAAACTCCCCTTATACTAAATGTTAAGTCCCTATACTTTACATAAGTTAATAAAAATATCTCTAAATACATCAGCATATGCTTAGCTAATAATAAACATTTCCAGCCACATACCAATGCCTTTTTGTTGTAGACTATTTTTTTCCCCTCCAACATGTGTCTCTTTAGTTATAACTTTCCAATTTATAACAAAGCAGAAATACTTCTGAGCAGGTCATGATGTCAGATATCATCACCAAAGAGTAAATGTATTTTGAAACTTACCTGATTTTAGTGAGACGAGTTTAATCTGTTCCACAACTCCATTAATCTGAGATTATATCTGAGAAAACCGGATGTTTGCTGGTCTTTTCAACAGTGTCCCAGGAAGAGGTATGAGTAGTAATCACGGAAAGTGCTCCAGAGCACCATTCACAAGGTGCTGAAACACAGGGAGAAACAGAAAACAAGCACGAATCCGTTAACAGAGCTTTGTAAGTTACTTTTTCAATATTATATACACATCAAACCACATGAATAACAGCCTCATCCTATCGTTTAACCAACAGTTCATTCGCAGGCTTATCTAGTCATCAGGAATGCGAGCTCTGGGTCCAATGCTGAGACTTCATGTCACACTTCAGCCCCCACCTGCCTCTTGGGCAAGCTATGGACACCCTCTCCAGAGGACTGTGAAAAGGACTAATTAATACAAGTGCTTTTAACAGTGGCTCAGTAAAGAGTAATTATTTTATCCCTTCCCTTTTTTTTTTTCCTGCTCTCAGTGAAAGGAAAACAGAACACCCATTTATTGAGCACATAATATAAAGCAGTGGGTGGTACTTTATAGAAATTAGCTCACTTCATCTTCAGATGACATGTTATTAAATCTGTTTTGCAAATAAGGAAACCAAGATCTGGGGAATTAGTCATTTACCCAAGTTTGACAACAAGAAAGCAGTATAATTGGGACTTAAACCATGTTTATCTGATTTTCAGTCTTTGCTACTTTCTGAACTCCCATGTTGGAGGGCTCATTTGGAGTATTTTGATGCTATCCATAGCAAAACAGCAAACATATAAAATTTAACTTTTACTATTGGTTTCATATAAAATACTATTTTTTATAAACTTGCCTTAAGTTTACTTACACTGAGTTTTAGTAGATTGAGTGCAACTAAAATTAGTCAGTGAAATTTAGCACATAAAACACATTAGAACACTCAAAGAAATTTTACTTTATTTTTTTAAAGATTTTATTTATTTTAGAGAGAGCGAGTGTGCCCATGCCCACTTGTGTGTGCCAGTGGAGAGAAGGGCAGAAGGGGGAAGGAGAGGAAAAGGGAGAAAACCCAAAGCAGGCTTGTGCTGAGAGTGGAGCTCGAATCCATGACCCCGAGATCATGACCTGCGCTGAAACCAAGAGTCAGACGCTTAACCGACTGAGCCACAAAGAAATTTTTCTATTTAACTCTATCACGAAAGATTGATTTATAGTAACGTTTACCACCATGGAAAGATAACTGACAAAAGACAACTTGTTCAAATTACTATGGCCAAATTTACAGAATAATTAAAGCTATGTACTAAGGTCCATTTGATAGATTTTCATAATAGTATCTTTATTAAAAATCTGCCAACAGAAAATAAAAATATTTAATCATATTCCCAGCACATCATCATTGCCATTACTAATAATATGGTATCTTTTCCAGACTATGTTTCTATGCTGAGATTTTCCCTAGATATATAACAATACTATATTCTGTTTATTTTCTTAACATTACAACAAGCAGTTCAAAGTTTCAATAGTTTGTAAACATTTTATTAAATAATGCACTACAGGGACACCTGGGTGGCTCAGTTAAGCATCCGACTCTTGATTTTGGCTCAGGTCGTGATCTCAGGGTTGTGAGATTGAGCCGGGCATCTGGCTCCATGCTCAGCGGGGAATCTGCTTGAGATTCTGTCCCTCTGCTCATCCACTCTGCATACATACACGCACATGCTCTCTAAAATAAATAAATAAATCTTTTAAAAGAAATAATGCATTATACATTTTGGATAAATTTCACTTTTTTTTATCATGGAATGTAGATCTATAATCCCTTATGACAACACCAAATTCTAAAAATTCTCTTAAGGATTTTCTTGTTTCTCATTTGGTAGGAAAATCTGATCTGACCTGAACTGATATGAAGCCACTTATTATTTAGAATGCTCAATATGAATATTCTTATAATTCACAATGAAATTATGAATGGGTCTAACTCTGGGTCCTACTCCAGAACACCCTGGGGGGGTCATTATATAATATAGTCTAAATATCTCATGTTACTTTTCTAAAAATATAACAAGGTCTGATTTCTGAAAACTTTAGAATTTTTGATGAGCAATTGTGGACCTAAAATAGTAACTAGGTCTCATGGGGTGCTTAGCATTTGGCAGGCATATTACTTTAACTGCTTTACATATAATAACCCTCCTAACACCCTCCTAACACAAGGTAGGTAATAAAATATTTAAGATTTTATTTATTTGAGAGAGAGAGACAAAGAGAGCGTGTGCACAGAGCTGGGAGGAGAGGGAGAAGCAGAGAGGGAGAATGTGGGACTCAATCTCAGGACCCTGGGATCATGACCTGAGCCAAAGGCAGATGCTTAACTGACCGAGCCACCGGAGTGCCCTGGTAGATACTATCATTAATCTCCTCTTACAGATGAGCACACTGAGGCACAAGGAGCCTCAGCAACTTGCTTGATTCCACATGGATGGGAAACAGACCTACAACCTGAATCCAGATAGCCTCACTCCAGCATCTGCATCCCAAATCAACATTCCTAAGCACTGGCTTCATTCTCAGAAGTAGAACCACGACATCAACATGTTTAAGATCTCAATGTATATTGACAGCTGTCTTCTTAGAATAGGATATTTGTGCCAGTTGTGACAGAGAATGATAAGCAGTTTGATTTCATTGCTGTCATTGGTTGTAATTTATTTTAAATTTTTTCATATTTAGCACGTGAAGAAAATTAACTTTATGGTTGGCTTTGATTTTAACTTGCTTTTTGTGACAGTGATGATGAAAATGTTTGCACATTTTTGTTATCACATTTGTTTTTTCTTCTTTCAATTATCTTTGCACACCCTTTCCCTAGTTAAGAGATACAATTGTCTACTGGTATCTTCCTGTTCCTTACTCTTACCTGCATGGCCTCGCCCATTTGTCACTACACTCATCTGCTGTTGCTATTTCACACTTGTGGGAGAGACTTGGTAACTCTGAGGTCTGTGCATCTGGAAGAGCTCTCCTTTCAAAGCCCAACCAACCTGGAGTGGCCTGACTACCGATCCTAGGTGCCCCCCACTCCTGTGCCCCTCATTCGTTCCTCCTTGCTTCCCCAATCTCCACCATTCACTTGACAACTGCTGGGATGCAGGACTTGGAACTCCTTGCAGTGTTGTCCCATGAGGACTCTTCTTTCATTGCAGCTTCTCCTGAGTCAGAAACATCCCACATCTCCCACACTGGTGCCTTTCAATGACTCCAGCTTATGAAGTTCATGCCTTTGAGCTCTATAATGTTTTGCCCATTCTTGTCATCTACCACCATCACAGGCATTCTTCATTGTTGACGTAGGGAATAAACTTTGATCATTACGTGAAGAACTCCTCCAACATTCCAAGCCTCTGGTGCCTTCTCATCACCTCTGTCAACCTTTAGCTTTAGAGAGAATGAAAAGCCAAAGCATTTTCTCCTACAAATCCTCTTCAAAAAAACTATCAAATTATAAGCTGAAGATGAGACCAATTCAGTTGTTTTTCAGCCAGTCCTGCATGCATGTTTGTTGTGTGTGTGTGTGTGTGTGTGTATGACATTTATTATCCCAGCAGTATATAAAACTACCATTTGCTTCATGTCATCACCAATACTTGGGATTTTCAGTCTTTTTCATTTTATTTGTTTTTACTTTATTTTTTTAAAGATTTTATTTATTTGAGAGAGAGCACAAGCAGGAGTAGGGGCAGAGGGAGAGGGAGAAGCAGGTTCTCCACTGAGCAGGGAGCCTGACGTGGGGCTCCTTCCCAGGACCCTGGGATCATGACCTGAGCTGAAGGCAGATGCTTAATCAACTGAGCCACCCAGGTGCCCAGTCTTTTTCATTTTAGTTATTCTAGGGGACTTATCACATTACACTGTGGTTTCAATTTGCATTTTCCCAATGACTAGTGAAGTTTTTAAATCTGTTTATTGATTGGATATTCTCTATTATGAAGTTCCAATTCAAAGTTTATCATTTTTTTAAATAGGTTGTCCACTTTAAAGTTATTTTAGTTGTGGAGTTTCTTTATATATCTGGAAAGGAGTCCTTTATTATTTATAAATATATATAGATATATGCATATATATATACAGATATATGCATATATCTATATATATGAAGGTAAAACTATACAAATTAAGGAATGACAAGGATTAATTAACTGTTGAAAAAAGGCAAAAAAATCAGAAGGAACTACTCTACAAACATCTACACTTATAAGGGACTATCTATGCAAACATCTTTTCTTTAAGTTTTAAAATCTAGATAAAAAGGAAAATTTTCTGGGAAACACATACTACCAAAATTGACCCCATTAGAGATATATAGTTCCAACACACTATAAATTTGAAACAAAAGAAAACTTGTTTGTTATTAAAACAGTATAATGTTGAAGTGGGGAGAGAACCTCAAGCAGACTCCCCACTGATCACAGAGCCTGATGTAGGCCTCAACCCCAAAACCCCGAAATCATGACCTGAGCCAAAACTAAGAGTCAACACTTAACCGACTCAGCCACCCAGGTGCCCCTAGAAGCATTTCTATTCAGACCTGAAATAGGGGGAATATGCACAGTATCTCATTCACTATTGTACTGAAAGTACTAGCAAAAGGACTTAGACAAAATAAATCAATTAAAGTTATAAGAATTGGTAAGGAAGAGGTGAACCTTTTTACTTATGAATGATGTGGCATCTGGAAAATGCTAACGAGTAACAGTAGTGCCTCAATAAAATAATTCTGTAAGGCAACAGAATATGAAATTAATATTCAGAAATAGCTTTCATATATATTGTACTATAAGGTAATAATATAACCACACTGAAAGGGAGAGGAAAGAAAATTAACCTAAGTAACTCTTGAAAAAGTGTTTTGCTTGCTTACTGTAAGGCTACCCACATGCTGTATTGTAGTTAAAGATTTATTTTTCACAGTGGTATGAAATTGCAATTTAAAACACTTTGTGTATTTACAGATTAATAATGAAATCTATTGATGATAATTAGAGTGAGGTTTCTCATTGTTAAAAATCACTAGTAATGGAGGGGAGTTTGCCAGAATAAACCCTGTGATGTGGGAAAGAAGTCAGATCTATCAATGAAATCATATTTGGGTT